CTAATAACAACATAGACAAACAATGAAAGGAGTAGTCTTCAATACAACTCAACTCATTTTATCATTCAGATTCCTCATCTGTGAACTGAATATATGCATCAATCCAAATAGTAGTTTGTAAGAATACAATCATGTCAAAATCAATATTTAGTTAGGGATTCAATGAAGAAAAATTCACCTTAATGAAACAAACAAATGTCACCGCAAACATGTACAAATTAAAAAAAAAATCAAAATAGACAACCGAGAAACCACCATTATCATTTTCTTTCTTCTTCACGACCTTTATAAAACCCCAATTATGTTCCCTTCTACTTATAACCCCTTTGCTACCGACTAATTACTAACCAGATCATCATTGTATAGCTAGCTAGTAGTAGCATGTCAATCATGAACATAAAACATATAAACAATCATCACAACTCTACTTTCCATTTCAACATTCAAGAAATCGGGTTGCAATAGGCATTCAAGAAAAACGTTCAATTATTCAACCGAAGGAGGTATGCCTTAATTCCAACCAATTAACCCTTCTAATTATATTTTATATACATGAAAGTATATGGTGACCCTTCTCAGTAAAAAAACAAAGAAGAAATATATTCACTCATCGAGAGTGGGAAAATTTACCATCCAGCAGTCGTAATTTGGAAGAAATTAAGAAAAGAATGGGGAAAAAAGTATAACTCGGCCAGTCAACCGCAAACAATAACATATTGCTGAGAAAGTGAGACCAGTTGCCAGCTTCAGATCAAGGAGGAAGAGGGAGCAGTCGACAACCCTCGGCTTGGTTCACCTTATCTTCATAATGATCAGATTAACTTTTTTCGTCAACAGGCAAAAATATGTTACAACTGCTCAAAATTTTGTCATCTTATCGTTGTCTCGTGTAATTTCTGCCTCCTATTCTCATACAAAGAAAAAAAATCGTATGCATTACCATTTCCTTCTCTATAAATTATGAGAATACAAATATTAGAAATCTCAAAAAATTTAGCAACTAATAAGAGGGCTTTGTTTATTTTTATGGTGGTTGACATACTTTCTTGATTTTTTATTTTCAATGTTGGATTTTATTTCTACAGAGACAATCAAAATGGGAAAAGGGATAGAAACAAATTAAAAGTTTGTATTAATAATTAATATGTTTTCATTTAATCAAAATGAATAAGAAGTTTTACAAAAATAATAATTATTGCTCTGTCAAGTTTATATTCAGAAATTTTGCTATTTAATTTATACTTGTTTTATTTGATAGGTATGTACATAAGAAAGAAGTGAGTGTTTGATAGCAAAAAACATATAGTCATATCGTTCATTTCTCAAAGTCCATTGATTGTCAAACGTTTATTTTCTCTTAGACCATCGTTTATATTTTGTATTGAAAATATTAATATTTATGTGTGTGTTTTTTTTTCTTCATTAAAATGTAACTTATTATTAAGTTTTAGTAAAAATGAGTAGAAAATTTACTTAATCAGATTTAATCAGCTTGGGTTAAACAAATACAATATATGTCACTCTCTGTTTCCATCATTATAGTTTGTTTAATCGAATTTTTTTTATTACTTATGTGTGTGTTTTTTGTTTAAATGTTTCCTAAAAAATTAACTTATTTTAATTTTAGTAAAAATGAGTAGAATTATTAAAAGAAGAGAGAGAAAACTTCATAAATAGATCAATAAATAGTTTTTTGTTTGAAAAAAATTGTCCACCTTGGCAACTTGTGCATTCACCAAGTGCTTATGTGGCAAGAAGTTATTTTTGAATAGCCATAATATTTAGTATAGAAGATAGATAGATATAGATAGATATAGATATAGATATAGATATAGATATAGATATAGATAGATAGACTACAATAGGAGCAACGCCTTAGAGGCTATGAAGTGTGTACGTAGTCCCTGCTTTATGAACAATTTGAGTAAGTCATTTTAAGTGTCTGTTTAAGTTTCCAGCTTCTTTATCCATGTTGGGTTTAATTGACTTGTCATTGAGGGCTGAAATTTTTTTTGTTGTTCTTGGCAGATACAACAGCAGCCAGCAGGATGCTTCAGATGAAGTCCATGACCCTTTTTTTTTGTTGCTAGAAAGATAAAATTCCAAAAGTTAACTCTAGATAGACAATCTTAATGTTGTTTGTGATACAATACAATAAAAGTAATTATTAGTTAGTTTATGGAGGAGAACTATTTATTACTATGATATATATTGTAATATTATAGAATTATTTATATAATATCTGAAACTTCTGATTGATGATAATAATATTTTTTTTGTTCTTACTTAATGGCAAGAGATTTTGTTATTGGTTGTATTTAGTAATGACAAAAATTAATAGCTAATCTTTTACAGATATTGTATACCGTAACTGGTGGACTGGTGGTTGTAATTAGCTTTAGTCAAATACTGTGACTAGTGGTTAGTATCTAGTCATGGGGGATCCAATCACAAGTAGTAAATACCATGATTAGTGATTGATAGCTAGTCATGGGAAGCGATTAGTCACGGTACACAATTAGTCACGGAGGTTTATATTATGGTAATTTTTCCGTGACTAGAATTATTAGTCACAGGAAACATGCTTTTAAATACGGGATTTCCGGTGATTAAAGTACCTTTTTCTTATAGTGTAACGCGATGTTCTGGTCCGTAAAACCCGTAACCCGCACGACCCGATCCGCAACCTGATTGACCCGCACCCGATTGACCCATAACCCGATTGGCCCGCAACCCGATTGACCCGTAACCCGACTAACTCGCACGACCCGATTAACCCACAACCCGACTAACCCGCACCCGATTGACCCGTAACCCGATTGGCCCGCAACCCGATTGGCCCGCAACCCGATTGACCCGTAAACCGATTGACCCGCAACCCGACCAACCCACAACCCGACCAACCCGCAACCCGAATGAACCGAGCCCGAACCCACCCGAACCCGCCCGATTGACACCTCTAGTCTATATCCTCCATCCCCGTCAGTTAATCGTCGTCACTGTAGGGGTGAGAGGCCGATTAAGTGTTTGGTAGTTGAGTTCGGGTATGGAGAGATGGAAGAAATTGGAAGATATAGAGATCGAGTGTTTGGGATCGAATTGAGAGGAGTGAGAGAAGGAAGAAATTGGAAGAGATAGAAAGGGGTGAGCGGCGCTAAGGGAGGGTGGGTGGGGGTGGGATTAGGATTTATTATTTAGTTGCAATGTATATTGCAATGGGAAAGGGCGGCGCATGAGAAGGTGGGTGGTAGGGTTTCTGATGGTGCTTTACATATATATTGTCAAATTACTAAATGATTGACTCGCTAAAACACAACACCTAACAATGGCCAAGTGTAACCAATGAAAGGGACTGCAGTATAGGCAAGTTTAATTATCAACCCGGGGTCTAGATCTACTGCTTACTCCGTGATTCTCTATTATCTAGCAAACTAGTTCGAGTGATTGTTGTGAAAAGTAAAAGCAACAAGAAAGCAGTAATTTGTTCGGGTTTCTAAAGCAGGTAAGAGTCACTCGGGATTGAGTCCCCCTAGCCCCTTAGTTAGGTTCAATTGCAATTCCCTGGGTTGATTTACTGTTGATTAGACTGCGGAACATCCGACAGTAGCTTGGAATCTCTTAAGCTGACCAAGCCCTCTCAGTCTAACTACCCGGCAGACGACTAGTCTTCACCGGGATAGAAAGCTGAGGCTATGAACACAGAACTCTACTACTGGCGTCAAGAACACCAGTACAAAGCAGTCAACTGGCTAACTCTCGTATAGCCAATCTCCTACTATCGAATGAAGAGGCTCTAACAACCTAATCAGATTCTATTTATCTCAGGTTGCAGCAGAAATTGAGAAAAGCTGATCAGACTCAAATCAATTCATTAAACATGCGTCATTCGATTAAAATCAAACAGTAATATCATCCCAAGTCATTACAATCAAATCCCTAACACAAGGAACTAGGGTTCTTCATACCCAAGTGAGAGAAGGGTTCTACTCCATAGAGAGAGAAGAGAAAACAAGAATCGGATTAGTCATACTCATAACGATGAGGATAATCTGCTCCGGGACGATGATTTTCACTCCTATGATGATCTCCAGGCTCGATTCGATGAAATCCAGCTCTAGGACAGCTTCTAGGATGTGTTCTTCGCACTTTCTCTCTCTAGGGCTCTGTTTTTGCTCTCAAAACACGATTCTCCCACTTCTGGCTCGGATTAGGCTTTAAAACCGGCTTTCCCGAGTTGCACGGCCAGGTGCACGGCCGTGCACAACACCATTCTGGCCGTGCACCCTGAAACGCGCCGTATCAATAAGTCTGCCTTCGTCCATCTTGCACGGCCAGGTGCACGGCCGTGCAATCTTCAGGGTCTGGCCGTGCATGGCCTCGGCATGAGGTGCACGGCCAACTTGCAACCGTGCACGGCCGTGCAGCATCCCTGGTCTGCCCGTGCACTCCCCAAACAGCTCGCCATTCGTCCGTTCTTCGTCCAATCGACCCCAGACTCGCTCCTAAGCCTTCATTCACGTACTAGGACCTGAAATAACACAAACAAGCACAACCTAGCGTGAAATCGGCCTAAAACACGAGAATCAACACCTCAAACGGTGTAAGTATGAGGGTAAAAACATGTGTAAATGACGGTCTATCAATGATACCTGCAAAGCAAATTTTATTTGAGTCATAAAATTGTTAAGTTATTATTTTATATGTCTTTTACTTATGATTCTATTGTTTATAAGGTATCGGTTCTCTAACAATTTTTTATCGATCTAATATCGGTTGAACCACTAAAGTATGAGCCGTTCACAATACCGAGTCAACCTTCGGTTCGGTTCTGACAACATTGCTTTTCCCCCTTACCCTTAGTTAACTTAAGCCTATATATGAAGATCCTTTTATACCACTCGTGTCATTTTGGGCCTGGGCTCCATCGACTAGTAGAAGCCTACCACGAGTCTCCATGGACTTGATTTCGGTTTCCCCCTCTCCCGCCAGGCATCCTATAGTCTTGTAAAATTTCCCGCGGCTTCGAATTCTTCGACGATCACTATTTATACTATTTCTTCACTCCCGCCGCTTCAAGTCTTCTCACAGAAGGAGAGGCACCCAGCCTTAACCTAATCTTTGCTCTCAGTCCAATCCCTTTCGATTTACTGCAAGTGCAGACCTTCACAGACGGTTCAACACTCCCTCCGAGATTTCCCTCCCACCGAGGAGTTAGATTTTTCGAAATGCAGGACACGGCAAGCCCTCATCTGGAGACGTTCCTCGGCATCCGCTTTCTTATCAGTGGCGTCGATCCTTCCGATCAGGTTTTGGCTTCGGTTTCAATTCCATTCAGTTCGTTAATCATTTCCTTCTTATTGCCTTGTCGCGATTTCAATTTTCTTTTGGTCTGCGGTTGGGGTTTTTCAGTTTGTTGTTCAATTGTGTAGGTTCGATCCGAGCTTTTGAGTCGCGGCGGAGTTGAGGCTCAGGATTTTACTCATCTAATAGTGGACAATAATACTATATACGTAGGTGACGTTGAATCGTGGATTTGGGGTTCTTCTACCGGGTTTCAATTGCTGTAGTGGTAGTAGTTCTTGAATCGTTCTTTCGTTTTCCGATTTATGATTTCCCTGTCTTCGGGTGTGTTTGTAGGATGATCCGGCCTGTGTTTCTGCAAGAAATAATGGGAAGACAGTGGTCACGAAGTTATGGGTCGATCATAGTTCTCATTTTGGATTGGTTGTCGATTCAACTAAAGTGGGTGCTCTTTTCTCCGCTATCTGCTTTTGTTATGCTTCAAAACTGAATCTATGGCCTGGCTTGGATGTAACGATGGCTGCACTGGCCATTTGTGTGTATTTACTATTTAGTGCTGTTGTGTTTTCACCTTGGATTCCTTCACTTTATCTGGGCTGAGATTCTATGGTTTTTTCCCCTTCCTTTTAACGTACAGGTGATTTATCAACCCCCAAAAGGCTTGAATGGGATACCAGGTGCTAAGCATCTCATAATTAGCTCAACTGGGTACAGTATCGAAGAACGAGAGAATATTATGGTATACCATAGCTCAATTATTTTCTCTACGCGTAATATATAGATCGTTTCCATGTCTGATGTTGGAGTTGTCTTTGTAGACTATGGTTCGCCTCATGGGTTCGCAGTTTTCCAAGATCTTAGTGTCCCACGAAACCACTCATCTCATATGCTATAAAAATAAAGGTGAGCCTTTCTTAGCTAAGGGCATTGTTTGCACTGCGGCCAACTTCTCCTCTGACTTCCCTTATCCGGTTTTAGCTGTGGAATGTTAAATCTTCCAGATTGGCTATTGTTGTCCTGCGAACCTGCATGATGTCCTTGCACTGTTTTTGACATTCTGTAGTTTTATAGCTCTGCCTGTGGTGCCTTTCGAACCATTGTGTGTATAATGGCAGCTGAACTATTTTTTAGGTCCAAAATACGACGTTGCACGTAGGTACCAGATAAAGATTGTCAATCCTCGGTGGTTGGAAGATTGGTTAGTTCTTTTCAAATACTGTTATGTCTATGGTCGCCTTGGGCATTTTTGGCCCGGAACCATGGTCCCTCTGCCTTTCTGCGTATTAAGCTAGTTTCTCTTTTGCAGCTTGAGGACCTGGAAGCTCCTCCCAGAAGATGAATATAGTAAGAGGTAATGTGAATGATTTACCCCATTTCCCTTCATTCCTTATAGCACATCTCTTGTTCAGTGGCTTGGAAAATAGCCTTAATAAAGAGAAACTTCATATTTATGCTTCCTTTCCACTTTTTATTCGCCAGTGGCCATGAGATGGAATTGATGGAAGCTGAAGTCAGGGATTCAGAAGATGATGTGTCTGATGGTACCTCTCTCAAGCTGCGTACCAGCTGCATTGTAAACCAAAGCCCGCAGATTAGGAGAAATGCATCTCCAAAGACCAGCAACTTGTCGGAATCAATTTCTGAAGTACCTGCAGTGCCGGTAGGGCCTGATGGTTTCTTGAATGTCCACAATGAGACATTAACCACTCCGGTCACTAAGAGAAAGGTGGATACAACATCTCATTTAACAGATCCCTCTGGTAGAACTCCAGGTTCTGCAGAGGCGGCTGATAAGATAGACGCTGTCTATATGAGTGTTGAAAAACCTTCAGATTCTAATATGAAGTCGAGCGTTGCTCCAGTAGATGGGGAAAGAGAACTTATAGTTGATCAAAGGATCGATCTCAAGGGTAAGTCTGGGTTTACTGATGATGAGAACGGGCATCCTGATGAAGCATTTGATCAAAGTGATGTACTTGTGAAAGAGATGATGGATACGGTCGGTTTGGCAGCTATAGAAAAGGAATTCCAAGAAGTTCAACAAATGGAGAAAAATTCCATTGACTCTGAAGTGGATCATGCGGTGGAGGATCCACAAGAGAGAGATAAATCAATCTCAGAACAAGATGGCGATACAAAGACCAGTGAAACTCAATGGCTACCTTCAAGTAAGAGCAAGAGAAAGGCAGTTGACAGTGTTAATGATAATTCCTTCAACTCTAGCAAAGTGACGGGGAAAGAAGAGCAGCATGCTGCAGAAGGCATACTCGAGAGAGAGCCACCTGCAAGTTGTCTTCCAAGTGTCAAGAAGATATCTAGGAAAAGGACACACCGCACTATGGAAGCGGTCAAGGAGAACAAAGCTGTCGTTGAATCACATAGTACTGGAAGCAAGGCTGGAAAGCATGTCGAAATGTGTATGACGACAGCCAATGGTGGTGATCAGTTAGCTTCAGAAGGCAAACCTGCTTCTGCAGGTGGAGAAATCTCCAGCCATGTTGAGAGACAACGAATGTGCTTCATGTCGAGTGGGCAGAATAGGCCGCAGAGGAAGGAGCTTAGGAATGCTATAAAAGATATGAAGGGGCAATCTTTCCTGAACTCTCACCAGTGGTCAAACCAGGTAACTCATTTAGTTGTTGCCGATCCTCTCCGCAGAACAGAAAAGGTCTTCGCTGCTGCTGCCTCTGGGAGGTGCGAGATTTCTCTTTCACCTAACTAAGTTGGATGATTATTCAGCGCCAGTTATTTCAAGAATATATTCCTTGAATTTGTAGTTCAACTTTAATTTGAGTTAGCGGTCCAGTCCGACAAAAGAGTGATGTTACTTGCAGGTGGATTCTCAGTACAGACTATCTGTTGGCATGCTGTAAGGAAGGAAGGTTTCTTCCCGAGGAGCCTTATGAATGGCACAAGAAAGGGGTTAATAAAGACGGCTCTATAAATTTAGAATCCCCCAGGAAATGGCGACTGCTAAGAGAGAAGACAGGGCACGGTGCATTTCATGGTATGAGGATTGTCATTTATGGAGTATGCATCGACCCTCCTTTGGTAAGTTTAAAACATCTATCTCTTTGCAGGCAGTCATTTCTCACTCAGTACGCCGTTTGATTTTATCACCCATTCCTTTCACGCGTTTACTCTTTCAGCATAGTATTTGTTAAATATCCTCCCTCCTGTTGAACTAAACAGGACACACTGAGGCGAGCAGTGGAGGCAGGCGACGGGGAGATACTGGCAACCGCCCCACCTTACACCCATATCCTCAACTCGCAGAGGGTCGACTATGCCATCATCTCCCGTGAAACCCCATTTGAAGACGTCTGGGTACAAGAGTTTGCAAGGCTCGAGATACCCTGCGTCACAGCTGATTACCTGGTGGACTATGTGTTCAGAGCTGGCTCCTCGCTGGACAAGCATGTTCTCTTCGACAACCAGGAATGGGCAGCCAAGTCTTTCAGCAACCTGGCGAGGAAGGCAGAGGAGATCGTCAACCCTGCAGCAGCTTCTTCGCCCAAGGCACAGAAGCGGAAGAAGGAGACGTCCAGCTGATTTCAATCAAGGGAAACTTGGGTTGATTTGTTTCCCTATGTTATAAACACTTTTGTTTATTTAACTAGGAGGGTTGGTTTCTTCTATGTTCAAGCTCGTGAACTCTTTAGAAACTGCTTTTTAATGGTACACAATTAAACAATCGTGTAGCAGCCCGCAGCTGCAGCTTTGCAGCACATTGATATGATGATCTTCTCTCAATAAACTTGGCGATTCTTCTCTTTCCCCTGCTTCGCAGGACTGCCGTCAGATTGGACCGGTGAGAGCAGCGGCGTGGCCATGATTTTCCCGTCGATAGTGGCATGGATTAACGGCAGATGAGTCATCGATGGCTGGGCGGCAGTGGACGCAAGTGCCGTACCTTTCCTACCCTCAATTTCCCCCGAAATCAAGCATTCACTAGTCAGTGCTCTCGGTCATGTCTATCTCTTTGCCGTTCCATTCTGCTATCCTCAATTTTCCCACTCCCTTGACCCCTGCTCACAGCCTCGCTCACGCTACCGCCATAATTTCTGCGCCGCTTGCTTTCCTTCGCTCAGTGCGGAGAAAATTTGTAACAGTTGGACTTGAATGTAAAGAATAAAAAGTAGTTAGGAGTGTTAGCAGAAGTATAGGGACTAAATGGGATATTTGGCAAGTGTATATAATCCCATTCTGTAATAACCTAACGGTCATCTGAGATCAATAACAAACTTTCCCTCTCTCTCTTCTCTCTCTCTCTTCCTCTCTTCTTCTACTTTCCTCTTCTAGCTGATTCTACCGCTGAGAGTCTTCACCGATCCAGAACGTCACAAATTGGTATCAGAGCCAACTCTCGGCCATGGCAACGACGGTGCGCCAGCTCGACGATCGCTTGAGCGCCTTTTCCACTCGGACAATTGAAGCGGAATCCGCCTTCAACACTCAGATCACGACGCTGGAAGATCAGAATCGTGCTCAATCGACTCAGCTGCAGGAGTTTACGGCGAGATCTGAAGGTCATTCGCAACAGTTTGCCGTGATTAATACTCGTTTGGATGGAATGGAAGATCGTTCTGTCGCTCATTTTGCTCAAATGGATCAGAATATCCAGGAGATCATTCGTCGATTGGAGGTTCTTCAAGTTCGCCCGGAGGTCGCCGCCGATCAACAGTTAGCTCGCCATGACGGCCGGGGTCTCTTACCTCTGCCGATTCAACGGCCGGGGGCCGTTCCATCACCGCAGCAGTGAGGCTTTGCTCCGAACAATCTGGATGCAGAGCAGGGTCACGTTTTAGGTCAACCTCGAGGTAATGATCAGATTCAGCTGCCTCGTATCGATTTTCCCCAGTTTAGGGGTGATAATCCTAGGGATTGGATTCGCAAGTGTGAGAAGTTGTTCGACATTTACGCTATTCCAAATGAGCAGAAGGTACGGATGGCTTCCATTTACTTTGATCGTCGTCCAGATATTTGGTTTGAGGGATGGAAGGTCGAGCATAGGGATTGGAATTGGGATGATTTTGTGAGGGATTTGTGTGACCGATTTGGCGATCGTGAATTTGGCGGTATTGTAGAGGAGTTCAATAAGCTTCGTCAAAGGGGTTCGCTGTCTGATTATCAAGAGAAATTTGAGGAGTTGAAGTCACAGATGGTTCGATATAATCCAGCTTTAGGGGAGCAGTATTTCATCTCCAGTTTCGTCAGTGGATTGGAGGAAGAACTTCGGCCGGTGATCAAGATGTGGCAACCTGTGACTTTAGCTCATACGTTTCAGCTTGCACAGTTGGAGGAGACAGCAAACGAAGCTAAGCGAAGGAAATGGCGTCTGGGAATGGGCAATGGCATGCGTTCAGTTCCACAAGTGGTGCAGGGAAACAGTTCTAATGCTCGTAAATGGGAAGGACCTAGTGGTCGTCCTCAAAACTTGGGGAAGACACAGGCAACTACCAGCAATAAGCCAAACTATGCCAAAGGGGCTTGTTACAAATGTGGGGATAAGTACTATTTTGGTCATGTGTGTGATACCAAAAAGCAATTGAATGTGATGCAGGCAGATAGGGGGAGATAATGGCACCAGAAGATTGGAGTGTACTGGAGGATGAGGACATGGATGAGGTGTAACACCCCGGTAATTTAGATTTAGGTTCGACCTTAATACGTGATTGGTTGGATTAACGATTGCGTACTAAGAGTTGCAACGCGGATTGAGAATAATAATAATTATTATGACTATTATTATTGTATAAAAAAAATTATATATATAATTTAATGGGGTAGGCCGAGCAACCGAACCCTCACAAATAGTCGGCGCAGCAACAATAATCCTTCCCCTCCCTTTTATTTCCTCTCCCCAGTAAATTGCCCTAGCAGCCGTGTACAAAGAAAGAAACCCAACCGCCGCCTCCTCTGATCCCGGCCCGTACCGCCTCCTCCTTTGGCTAACGTCGTTGTCATAGGGAAATTGAAGAAGCCAAGTAACGGGGTGTTGGGGGAAACAGGACGGAGGGGATACGAGGCCGTGGGTGTGCAATAAATTTCTGCGTAATGTAGGCACGTGAGTTTGGGGAGCTAATGGAGCTGGCGGATGGAGAGAATTAGGAGGGATCATGAGTGCGGCCAGTACAGGAGGGAATGGACATCTTCAATTGCGGTATTTGAGCTTCGGGATTCCATGGAGCCGTCCGGAGATATTTGACCTGAGCTGGCAATATTATGTACATAAGGAGGATGACAATCGTGGGCATGGCAAGCGACCTGGTGATAGGAAACTAGTACAACCGAGAACTCGGATCGGAGGTAGGTAACTTTTCCCCTCGTCCACTCCAAGGATCGGTTCTATTTCATTATTAAAATTAAGGGTCACGAAGGGTTTGGTAGTAATTCTCAAGGACTTATACATGTATAGTTGAAGAATTACTTGAACCGCATGGATTACAGTAGGTGAAGGTGTATGTATATGCATGGGAGGATGGAAGTGTGTATATATATTGTGGGTTCGGATTAGAATGAATGATAAATGGACCGTGGGGATTTTGTCACAACTTGGAGGTATTTATCCCATTAGCTAATCATGGATGGGTTTTGAATGATGCTTACAGTTGAGCACACAACGTGAAGATAATGAGTTTCGACAAAGGACAAGGAGCAGGGCGATTGAACTTAAGAATTGGGTTCTTCAACTGGTGAGTGTAAAGGGGGTAAAATCTCCGTCGAGGTCTTTTAGTTTATGTCTTTTGATTCAGTTATATTTGTTATTTAATTTTCTAGTATGCGTGATATGTGTGTGAGGCATCCCACCGCCTGTAAGGGTGGAGGCACGCGTTGTGCTATGTATGAATGTATGTGATGATGTATGGATTGATGGTATGAGGAACCCCCGGGCGGTTGGGCCACTACTGGACGCGGTAGATGGTCGGGTCACTACTGGACGGCGATACGTAACGCAGTAGTTGACCGGGCATGGACTGGACGACGATACGTAACGTAGTACCATTGCCTTGAGGATAGGGACACCGGACGGCGATACGTAACGCGGTGGTCCCTAGTATTTATGTGTATGAGTTAAGGGTAGAAGTAAAGGACATCTATAAGTTAAAGTTAAGGGTTTAGAAGGTTCCATAAGCTATTAATGAAATAAAGTACTTAAAGAGGTGAAAGCGAGAACGACTTTCTTGTAAGAGGATGAATTGTCTAATAATGTGTTTAGTAAGCGGTTTTCCTAGGGCAAGACCTTAGGAAGTAACGACGAGACTGACCCCTTCTCACTCACCAGGTTGAGGATGGGTTAGCAGAGGTAGATCCCGAGAAGAAGTAAGATGAGGCAGGCGGTCGTGCCGGTACCGATGATGAGATGTCAAGGAGCTGGGTGAAGAGTATGGTTAAAGTTTGATAGTTGTTTTATGTTTATGGTTATGATTATATGTACTGGAGATTCAAGGTTCAAGATTCTGGGTTAAGTTGTTTTAAGTGTTTGAGATTGAGATTTTGCCCAAGTGTTGGGGCTTTTTTATTTAAAATTATTAAATAAAGTCAGTTTGTTATTTTAAAAGTGGTTTGGGTTGCTCCGGAGTAACCGGTTTTGGGTTTGAGTTGTGGTTTGATTTTCGAAAAAGGTCGGGACGTTACATGAGGTCTTAGGGGATGACCAGCAGCCAGAAATTGTGGAAGTATCAATGCAAGCTTTGAGCAGTGGAGGTTTATTGAATTCATTGATAGTGAAGGGTAAGGTAAAGAAGGAAAAGATATTTGTGCTAATCGACACTGGCAGTACACATACATTCTTGAGTGAAAGAAAGGCTTTTGACCTGAAGTGTAAGTTGGTTCAAGCAGAGTCTCCCTTGAGGGTCAAGCTGGCTGATGGGACAATCCTGTTGAGCAGTATGGTTTGTAAAGACTTTTGCTGGGAAATTCAGAACCAAAAGTTCACATTCGATATGAGGATCTTGAGTCTGGGAACTAATGACGTGGTATTGGGTTTGGACTGGTTAAAAACTATTAGTCCAGTCAAATTTGATTTTATCAATCTACAGTTGTTCTTTGATTGGGAAGGACAGGAGGTGTCTTTACAAGGCGTCCAGGATATGGCTCAGTGCAAGGCTATCTTGGGTAAAACCTTACAGAAGATGATCAAGAAGACCACAGCTACATTGGTGGGACCTCTGTTTCGCATATCTGTGGAGACTGCAAATGCAGGTAAGGTTCCTGAGTTCTTGGAACCTGTAGTGAATGAGTTTAAAGATGTGTTTGGGAAGCCTAAGTCACTGCCACCACCTAGACCCTGTGATCACACTATTCCCCTGATACCAAATGCTCAACCTGTGAATCTTAGACCCTACCGTTACTCAATTCCACAGAAGAATGAGATGGATCAATTAGTTAAGGAGATGATGGACTCCTAGTATATACAGGATAGTAGAAGTCCTTATGCATCACCTGTATTGCTGGTGCTCAAGAAAGATGGCTCATGGAGATTCTGTGTGGACTACAGGCAACTGAACTCACTCACTATTAAAGACAAGTTTCCAATTCCATTCATTGATGATCTGCTGGATGAGTTAAGAGGGTCTAAATTCTTCACCAAGCTGGATTTATTGTCAGGTTATCACCAAATCAGAATGCACCCTCAAGATCAACATAAAACAGCCTTTAGAACTCATCAGGGTCACTATGAATTCAGAGTGATGCCCTTTGGGCTCA